AGGGAACTTTGTGGAATCTTTCCACAGTGGTATCTGCATAGTCCTTCCTACTGCCATCACTTAATAGCTCAGGACCTGGCTAACTGGGACAAAGCATTTAATGTGAAGGTATGTCATTATATTGATGATTTAATGCTAACCTCCACATTTCTATCTACAATAAACAACACAGTAGGCTCTTTGTCTTCTATTTACAGGAGAAAGTATGGGCCATCAATCTTTAAAAGGTACAGGGACCTAGATTATCTGTCAAATTGTTGGGTGTTGCCTAGTTGCGTAAGACAAAAGTCCTACCTAATGCAGTTATTAACAAACTAAAAGCATTCCCTGTGCCAAAGGCAGTAACTTTGCTACCAGAGTTTTAAGTATATTGGAATACTGGTGGTTGTTTATACTATGTTTAACACAGATGTTAAGAATTTTCTATCGGCTGGTAACAAAAGGCCAAATGTGGGACTGGGACCAACAGCAGGATGCCTTCCAGCAGGCAAGGCTAGCAGTAAAACAGCTACAGGTATAAAGCATTTTTGACCCCACTCTCCCGACCAAGTTAGATGTGCATGTGACTCAAGTGGGATCTGGGTGCCAATTGGAGCAACTCTGATAGGGCTTTGGTTCCAGATGTGGCATGGAGCAGAAGAACAATTTAGTGTGATAGAGAGACAATTACTAGCCTGTAATTCTGCAGTACAAGCAATGGAACCAATAACACAGACAGCTGAAGTTATAGTAAAAACACTATGTATCTAGAATTGGGTGAGAGATCTGATGCATATTCCTAAGACCCAGATAGCCTAATCTCATAGAATCATAAGGTTGGAAACGACCTGTAAAATCATCTGGTCCAACTGTCCTCCCATCACCACTGCTCCCACAAGCACTAAACCAGATCTCACAGCCGAGATCCAGACACCACTTGAACACTGCCAGGGACGGCAACTCCACCACCTCCCTGGGCAGCCATTCCATGCCTGACCACCCTCTGAGAGAAAAAGTTCTTCCTCATGTTTAAGACCACCATGCTCCAGACAAAGCTGGAACTGGGATATGTTCAGTATCACTGGAGGTGCAAATTTTTAGTTAGCACAACCAGACAGACTAACCATTTTTGATCCAACAGAAATCATCTGTACTTCATATGTTATTCAGTTCCTATTACCTGCCTCCATGTATGCCCTCAACCTGCTAGGTGCCTCAAGAGCAGTAGGAATGCCCCCTTTCTGGGACTCGATTCAAGGAAGCACAAGCACCAACAGTATTTGTTACAGATAACTACTTGTGATAGACAAGCAGCAAAATGGGAGTCCCCCTAGTGAACAAGAGCATCCGTCACATACAGTGCTTTAATCAAAGACACTTCCAGTATGCTCCTGATCAACAGGGACTGACCTACACAATATATATATTTTTTTTTTCTGTGATTATAATTTAAGTATTTTAAAGACTACAGTATTTTATCAGGAGAGGAGAGCGAATTTTGCTTACAATGAATAAGCAAACACATACACCTCCCCAGGTGCCAAAGGCCAGCATACATTTCAGAACTGTCTATCTTCCTCCCCCAAGCATTTTAATTGAGGATATTTTATTTCCACTTGGAATAAAAAATAAAAAATAAAAGTAAAAAGCGGGAAAGGTGCAAAAATACAGTTTGGTGTAAAGCAATACAGTAGACTGATTGCATGAGAAAACAGCACTCACTTTTAAAACACAGAAGAGGAAAAGTATGGAGAAAGTCTCAAAAACGACAAGGAAGAGTGAACAAAGTTGGTGTCTCTATCTGGCTCCAAGACGCAATCAGATCTCCTACGAATATGAAAGACAATTAGATTTCAGCAGACAAGCCAGAAAGTAATGATTGTGATTGCTGATGCTGCAGACCGTGGCTGGCCCACATTAGGTTAAGTAAGCTGGATGCAAGCCAGTATCATTGAACAAATGGCATGGCACATTCTGGAGGAATCTGAGGAGTGGTTACTAATATCTTAAAGGTGACCTTTCACACATGCTATCCCAGCAAATGGGGCAATTCTCTTTGCTGTAATGGAAGAGATGAGCAGAGGTTAGTCTCTTGTAATTATGCACTCTTCCTATAAATAGGATTTTTTAATATATAATTTTATAATAATTGACTGAACCTCATCTGAGGGAAGTACACTGTGCGCTCTATTGGTTTCCTTCAGTCCTTTCTCTCATTTGAAAGAAAACAATGTAACTTCTTATTCTTCATTATCATCCAGGCGGGCAGCAAGCTCAAAAACAAATTCTAATTTTTAGCTGTGTTACCTACTAAAAAATGAAAAACACTTCCCAAAAGGGCAGGTGCCTCAGGAAAAATGAAAATTACTAGGAGGGCTCTGCTTTCCTGAATGAGTTTTCCATAGATTATTTATAATTGAATGAAACCAATTACAGCACTTGTAATGGAAACTAAACACATACATTAAACATTTCCATTTTTTGCAGAAGCTGAACTACGTGCACAGGAAAAGATCTCTACATTTATGTGAAGGTAAAAGAGAAGTCATCGTTTTCTGAAAAAATGGAAGTACAAAAATGAAAAAATGAAAAAATGAAGTACAAAACCTTCTTAGAGTAGTCTGAAGGGCTACTATCTTATAATTGAAAACTGGGGCCCAGATTCCAAGAAGCCGTCTCATAGACAGAAATCCTGAAGCTGGAGATTGAACTCCTTTCCGTTTCTCTAGAGATGGAAATGCAACTTAATTAGGCTCGATTTTCTAAATAGAGGTTATTATCCTCTGTAGCTACTCAGTAAAGTTTTAAATTAATATCAGACTAAACACTTGCTCAAATAGTGGGACACGCTCTGTCTTCAAATCACAGTCTTACCGTGCAGAAATCCAATATCTGAAAAAGCTAAAGACTGAGAATAACGAACTGTTATACAGTTCTCATTTTCAAACAGAAAACATCCTTTTATACCCTACAGAGCAGTCCCTAAACCAACACAATCTTTTTTTTTTTTTTTTTTTTTTTTTGTTTTGATGTGTGGTTGTAGGTAGAAAGAATTAATGTAGTTTCAAACAACACCTTTGAATGCATTCTGAATGAAAGAAAGAAAATGTTTCAAAGTTACAGCAAGGGAACTGAGTAAGACTAAAGTCAAACAAAATGATGTGAATATTCTTTGATATCCATCAAAGAAAATTGTCAAAAATACTTCAGAGGTAATACTGCTTTGAAAGCAGCTAGAAGCAATATACTCATTGACTTCATCTGTAATTATCTGGTATCATTTGGATTATGTATGCATTTTACTCCACAATTAAACTAAACAAGAGCATAAGAAGAGGCTTACAAATGCCATGCAGAATTACAATTCAGCATTTTGTAGCATGTTGTATATATTGCAGGAAATATCTGTTAGACCATTTTTGCTGCCAGTAGTCAGGAAGCTTCAGTTTATTCCTAATTACTACTGTGTAATCAATAATGAAGCAGTGTGATGATTTAAGAGGCATCTATCTATACTAAGATGAAACTAGTATTATTAATTTAGAATATATTTTCATTTTCCTAGACTTGCATATAACTAATCTGATAGGGAAAATGAGAGCAGATGTAAGAATATTGTCCATTACTTAGCACTTAACACTGCTTTATGTCATACATTATGATGCTCCCAACAAGACATTAGCAGGAGCAAGATCTGTTCTACACCACATGTAGGCTCCAAGGCCAGTAGTGTAGTAGACAAGAAAGTAGACAAATCTTTTCTTAATATTTCATGTTTATCCCTGATTATCAAAATAGCAGACATGAGTGTCATGGATGTAAAGTAAAAGCAGAACCCCCAGGCGACATGAACTAAGATCACTTCAAATGATACAGTTAAAATTCTATCAGATTACTAAGAATGGGGGGCATTTATTTACTTTTTTACATCATTTGCATATATACAGTCACTCTGTTTCCAACCACTTTTCTAAATTAAAGGCAGCTGTGGCACTAGGTATCTTGGAAGGTTACAAATTACAGTCATTTTCTTCTGGCAAAAAATGTTCTTAGCCCAGAAACACCCCTGCCATATTCTCTTCACACAGAATCTTTCAGCTCTTTTTTCCTCTTACATAATAGAAGACCCGAGTTCAGCCTAGGAATTCAAGTTTAGATCTGAGCATTTCCTTCTAATTTGTTCTCTGCAAGAATTCCTTCCCTAAGAAAGATAGATCTACTTGCATTTCTCGTTTTAAATTAGGCTTTCTCCTCCTTAAGGCCACACTACTACATTTTGACAGCCATTGCTAAACTTCACAGAGATGTCATCGGATTCACCATTACTCATTTCAATAATTTCCGCTGTAACTTTCAACATCTTGAGAGAATATCAATCAGTCAAGATGATGCTATCATTTACAAGAATTCTGCCATCCTAGTTATATCCTCTTTAATCTCACACTTAAAAAAGATGGAATTATTTCAGTGTATTTTATTCTTCTGCTAATGTAAATGCTGTGAAATAAGTACCTTTCCTATCGCTTTTTCCAGCTTTCATTGGAGGAAGGTACTCACTGTAGACCTCTACTACCTTCCTGATGTCTCAATCATCAGCACAAAAACAAAGTGACTGTTAAATTATGAAGAAGTAAGTTTCTTTGCATTTATTTAGAAACACGCTGTTTTAACCCTGTACATTATTGCCTGTGGAATGCCTCCATACATTACAAATACTTACGTGCCAGGGGAACATTGTTTCTAGAATTCCAGGATCAAATATTTTTAAGTATGAAAATACGCTGTTGATATCAAGTATATTATAATATACTGCAGACAAGCTAGAGCTACCTCCACCACTCCCTCACCCCTCCTTTTATTTTAGTGTGGACTCCACTAAACCCCATCCGTAATATTTTCATGGACTGTTAACAAAGATCCGGTTGAAAACCAAAAGCTGATCTACAGAAAACACAAACTTGTTCAAACATTTAATAATGAAATTTATAGATGGGGGTAGGGAGTGATCACTGAGCACTTACTGTAGCAGAAAGCTGTGGTCCATTTAACTGTGCGTGCAGGATGGCTTCATTGATGGAGTTCCAGATTCCCGTCAGTGCTATTTCCAGATCATGTGAGGCACCCATTTCATTAGTCAGATATTCCAGTGTGGAGATATACTCCCTCCATTGCATATCCAGTTCTGACACGCTGGCCAAACAGCCCCTCATCACATTCAGACAGTATCCAATACAAGGTCTGATTAGTGTCAGGCCCTGGCAATGTGGGCAGTACTGCATCCTCACTAGAGCTCTACTGCACTCCTTGGTGAGGGCAGCGTGTTCAGTAGTATTTATCACTTCAGTGCCCAGACTGAGAGCCTGGCTGAGCATCCTACTTGCCCAAAGAGATTTTGACAGCTCTGTAACCATGTTTTTAGAATAGTGTCCAAAAGGATTTATGTCTTGCCTCGTAAGCCGAAGACATTCTGTATAGTCCTCTGACAGATCAGTAATTCCTGGATTTATTAGCCGACTATACACCAGAGGAAAAAGACTGTCAAAAAAACGTAATACTGCATTTTCCACTGTAGTCTCTGCACCCAGGATGTAGAGGGAGATGTCTGTGAAAAGTTCTTTAATAGGCTCTTCTGCTTCTTTTGCCATAGGTCTGTAAGCTACTTCAAACAGAGATCTTGTACGGTTTTCAGCCAAGTGCAGGAAGGACTCAAAGGCCTCTGAAAAAAAAAAAAAAAAAAAAAAAAAGGGGCAGGAGAGAGAGAGAGAGAGAGAAAGATGTTAGATGTTAACAGCTAGCAGCTTGCTTCTAATTCACAGGACTAATAATGTCCTGAGCAGGGACACCAAGAGCTATACAAAATCAGCAGTGTGAATACACTAATAATTAATACAGCTTTCATCAGAATATGACAAAAAAGACAAGTAAATATTACATGTGTATAATAAAGAAATGTCTTAACACACACTTTTTTTTTAAAGAAAGATTACTGTATTATCACTAGTTATACCCCAACTCAAGCTCTAGTGGTCACTGCTGGATCTTCACAGACAGTGGGCACAGGGATCAGATGTATCTAGATTTTTTTTTTAAACTGACACTGTATTTGGGCAATACAACAAAGACACATCATCAAAACATCCTTTACATCAACAAGCACTGCTGGTTTTGAGTACTTAGAGAGAACTACAACATTTTCAATGCCTTGAATATGTCTCTATAAAACTGCATAGTAGAATACTTGGACAAGCAGAATTATGGAAGCCATGAACTGCTATGACAGGAATACCTGGTAACAGGGGGGGGGGGGGGGCATAATACACCCATCACACAATTAGTACTGGCTGTATAAACAATTATATGATACCAGCATTTAATAAAATAGAGGGAGAAAATTCATTTTTTATCTTCTTGTAAACCTGTAATAAAGACACAGTGAACACTGAAAAAAGTCAAAGAATAACATGTACATCTCATCAATGCTCAGAAATGTTGATCCTCATTCATTACCAGTACTTCTCAACTGTAGCTATTTGAAATGATTTAATAATTTAACAGTTTGTGAAAGCAGTATCTTGATAACACAATGACAGCTTAACGTTTTGCTAGCTTTCATCCCAAGTATCTACTGCTATGAAATAACATTGCATCAAAAATGGAGAGAAGTGTAAAGGCAACTGTGTTGTGTGAAATGTTGTCTAGACGTACAAAAAACATGCGTGTGCACATTTGGATAGCTGACATGCAGAGTGGATACATGCTAGAATGAAGGACAAGACAAAGACAAATGTACAAAGAGCAACTTCAGATAAAGCTGCTGGACAGCAGCTCAGTGAAAGATTGAGATAACTGAATGTAAACATAAGCTGATGCTTTTCTTTCACAGTCCTGTGAGTGGATGGCTGAGGTGCACTTCTTGCAAAGAACAGATCAGGAATAAAGGGAAGATGCTGTGTGAAGAAATTCTCTCACTGTTAACATCAGCTTGGCCTGAGCTCCAGCCAAGGGTTAGGCAGAACTTAACATTGAGTCTATGAACAAAGAATGAGATGAAATTTTAAGTTCAGGAAAGCAGTATTTCACTTAACTACACCATTTTTGAATGCTCTTATAAAAAAAAAAAAAAAAAAAAAAATCTAAGAAATGCCATAGTTAAAGCATTTGAAATTGCACAATGTAACTATTATACAATGACCAAGGTGCTAGAATTTGTAGACAGATTTGTAGACAGGAACATGCATAGAATCAATTCCCAAGATTATTTTTTGATGACATAAAAGACAGTAATCTGAACTATTCCCACTGCTTTCTTTGGAAACTGTACAACAAAACGCCTCTGACATAAATCATGCTCACACTTCTCTGAATGGCAAGTAGTTCCTGCTAAAGGAGGAAACCTATCACGTTGTGCCCCCTGAGGACTGGCCAGATAATGGGCTTTCAGTCTAATCCTACTCTGCATTCAGCTGAACATCACCATGCAATTCAGAGCAATGTAACACAAACTGATCTAGCCCAAACATCAGCTTAGCAAAGGAGCTGACACAATACTGTAAGATTAGCATGCACTGGCCAAGTTTTGTAGAAGAGCCTGCTCACTGCCTTCCTCTGTTACATCTCTCTGGGCAACTAGCTTGTTTGCTATGTGGAGCATTATAATCCCCTCACCACGAAGGGCAATTTAACCAGACAGATAATATAAGATATCTCATTGTACATTAGTATATTACACACATGCACGAGCTGTTTCCTTCTGCCTGAGAATCACTTCAGCATTCTCATTGATGGTAAACCACGAATACTCTGAAAGAATATCAAGAAATGAAACACATTTCCATTTAAAAAGAAAGAAGCTCCTTCTCAGACAGCGAAACATCTTGCCAAGTTTCAGAACGAAGCAGATTTTTACAGCTGTGTTAAAAAAAAATCCTAACTTGATTCGTGATGAAAATGCTGACACAACTAAATTGTAATGCAGTCAGCTGCATGCCACTGTACCATTAGATTTTTTTTGTGTTTGACGATTCACCTGAATTCACCTACTTTTATTTGTAGGGAAAATCTAACAACCATTTTTATTTATCACATTGAAAAGACAACAGAAATCTGAAGAGCATGAAAACAGTGCCCTAGGAGTTTCCTCCTTTACTTCATCCCTTGCAGATAAGCAGCCTGCCATTAGGTTATGGAAGCAGGGACTCTCTCCAATGATGCCAGTAGATTCCTACATACCCTTGCCTTCCACCTCTATAAACTCTGCAACCATCACCCTCCTTATCTGAATAAATGAAACACATTTATGAATTTACACGTATTCTCAATTTCCTGGAAAATAACAGCCCCCAGTGAAAGATGAGTTACTGACAACTTACCTCCCAACAAAACAGATTTCAGGAGCTTCCTGGGTAATAGGTTGTAGACTAGAAACCACGTAAGCCCTTTACATTCAAATGTCCCTTGACTATCAAAATTCTGCATGCAATTAAGTGGAATTACACTATTTTGTGACAGGTATGAAATTAAAATAGTTGAGTGCCGTTTATTTTTCATTATGCAAGAGAAATGATAATGGCACACAGCTTTATTCCTCTTGCTAAAAGAGCCAGAGCATTGAGCGTACAGTACAAAAACATTTCTGCTGGTTGTAGGTACACTGCAAACATCAGTAAGGTACCATATGCTTCCTTATCATTATCCGCCAATGATAAATCTGACAATCACCCTTGAGAAGGAAACGTGGGACTTGACTTTCTTGTTGTAAGGCATTAAGAGACAGCAGAGAATCAAATTACTGGGTCATCTGGATATTCTTACATCTTTTCTTAGAAATAATGCAGCTTCAAGCAGTTGAAGCGGTTGTGCAAGAGAGTCTACCTTAGCATCCTGTTTTATTTGATTTATTTATTTATTCTATTTATGATTATTTACTTTAAATATACTTTCTATGGTACTTTGTACACTTCCTAGATCTCAAAGGTCTAAGAAGTAAGATGTTCCTCTGTGTAGCCTCAGCACACACAAAAAAGAAAAATATTTGGTCATCTTTACAGTCCTTCATATCAATCTTCCACAAAATCAAAGTACAAATACATGCAAATATATCGATTCTGGAATAAGTTGTAAAATTCTCCAGAATGTGAAGGAAACATTATGTAAGTTTTTCCTTCATTTATTATTAAAATAAATAGGAAGATGGAAATCACAGTTGTTCTTATGCTCCTCAAGAGCCACTTTTTTTATTTAAGTCTACAGGGAGAAATCAAAGCCATGTCTGGAGCCTGGACTAACACATCAGTGACTACTTAATGAACATCACCTTCATGAGAAGAATTTTGTTCATTTTGCTCATCCTGTGCTTACAAAGCAGAAGCAGATTTTAAGCAACATTATAGACCAAAGAAAAGTATCTAATATTTTAACACTAGCGTGGGAACCACCTTTCCAAAATAAAGTCAGCTTAAGCACCAGAGACCTCTGTGCACAGGGGGCCATTTCTGTTGCTCAGCAGCACAGGCTCACATACAACAGGCCTACTCCAGCTGAAACCCGAGTCTACCAAGGCCAGCCCTCCAAAACTGAGTGCAAACATCGACACGTGTGAAGGGCAAGTTACTGTCATTGCTGTTAGGCTTCTGTGTGAAACGCCCTGCTAACGCAAGGTCTCTATGTTCATCATTTCTTACCTTCTGCAATAACTGAATAAACATTAACTTACAAAAAAAGTCCCCCTGCAACAAGGAAAACCACTGTATTATAAACATTAATGACAATATTTAGGAATGGCCAAGAAACCAAAAGTAGAAGCCAGCATTGTACCTAACTATACAGAAATATGTATACATTTTAGATCCGTGTGTGATCATAAAAGAATAATGACAAATTGAAGTCGCTCCATTATCTCTTGGGTCTCTTAGGACCACACTAAGATTTGGCTCCTTTCTCTTCAAGGTCTTCCACTTAGTACCAAGTTACAAAGTGCATGAAAGCTAGATTTGTTGAAAACAGCTTCCTTTTAATGCTTTCAAGTCCTTTAAATCTTCTATGTCTTTACAGTTTGCCAAAACACAGGACAAGACAAACATATTTTGCAGCAGTAGGAATGAAGAACAGATTATTTGAAATTTGATGCAAAGTTCTACGTACACAACAAGAAGTCACACTTGTACAAATTCTTGTAATGCACACGATAAAATTCAGAGTTCCATATTCACAGATAAGCAACAAAATCTAAACATTTATGTATGTGAACAAAAATAACAAAGATTGCTCAGGTTGCTACCTATCATTAAATAACATAATCAAATTTGGGTTGTGGGATTGTTGTTTCTTTTTTGTTTGTTTGTTTGTTTAGATTGTAGGATTGTTTTGGAAAAGAACGTAAGCGCAAAACACAGTCACATTTAGAGCAACAGAAGTCTATTAAGCTACTTAAGAAAACTTTCTGCTGCATTTCTTTACTTCTAGCAAAACAGCACAATACAGAATGTCATGGGCTGGATGTTTTCTTCTGCTCTGTCCTCGGTCATTATGCTGAAAAAAGCACCAAAGCTCTTTATTAACACACAATTTTTCACTTTTTCATGTGTTTTTAGAATGGCAGGCTTCCTACATGCACGTGCACTATCTCTTCACAAAACTGATCAGAAGTAACATCTTAATAAGCATCATTATGTAAGCGGCCTCATGGAAATAAGATGCTCAGCATGTAAGCAGGAAACA